CATAATTGTATAATCAATAGTTGATACTAGTAATAATGACTTTTCCTGTCCACTTAATTCAATATTATTATATTTAAACCTGGTAACAGTAAAATACTATCTAATCAAAGGCAACTAATATGTATCAGTGTCTATTATGTCATAGATACTGTGCTAGAAGCTTAACATGGATTATTTCATATAATCCTCATTGCAATAGGCTATGTTAATAATAATAGTTATCCCCCAAAAGCTGTTAGAATTCTAATAGGATGGAAAAGTTTTCCCTTGGTTTATAATGGTTCCTAACAATATGGTATCTCCCATATCAATCATTCACTTATTCATTCATTTATACAAAATAGTATACCTTGAGAGGCATATTGCTTTCTCATACCATACCATAAACTATGACCTAATTTTAAACTACAATAACTCTATGATCTTAATTTTTTTTTTTTTTTTTGAGATGGAGTCCTTGCTCTGTCACCCAGGCTGGAGTGCAGTGGCACGATCTCGACTCATTGCAAGCTCTGCCTTCCGGGTTCACGCCATTCTCTTGCCTCAGCCTCCCGAATAGCTGGGACTACATGAGTCTGCCACTACATCCGGCTAATTTTTTTTTCTTGTATTTTTCGTAGAGACAGGGTTTCACCATGTTAGCCAGGATAGTCTCGATCTCCTGACCTCGTGATCTGCCCGCCTCAGCCTCCCGAAGTGCTGGGATTACAGGCATGAGCCACCGCACCTAGCCAATCTTAATTGTTAAGGCATAATGTCTCTAACATAAAAATGTCTTTCTCAGTAAATTCTGTTTAATAATATCACATGAATTTTTCATAGAAAATTGATACAAGTTATAACAGGTTGAGAACCAATGTATAGGTCAATGTACAGAACCAACACAGGTCAGGGGACCAGAGTAAGAGTGTTATTCCTAATAAATACAACCTATTTCACAATTTTACCTAGAGGGGCAAAGGCATGAGAAAGCAATGAAGAAAAACAGGTTAATTTTGTTTCCAGCTAAATGCTTCTTATAAAGAGAAGAAAACTGAGTATCGGGGTAATGGGGGTATGGGAAAGGCCTTTCACGATATACTTTCTACTTTCGAAACAAATGAACACATAACCTATTAAAATTAATAAGTACAATTTTGACTTTGGTGATTTTAGAGATGATTTGAAACTAATGAATAAAATGTTCAACATTTTAGTTATGAGTTAAAATCTTTCATCAATATAGCTGAGTATATTCCTTCAGCAACCAAACAAATTACTCCCCAAACCAGGAACAACATGACTAATTTCGTGTGAACTATTCAACTCTAGGATTCTACAATCCTCTGTCTCATAATTAGATGATGGCTGAGAGAAAAAGTAAAGGTGATCTCAACAGCCGTCAGCTCCACAAAAATAATTTAGACCCCTAGAATGCAATCTAAGAGGCAAAAACAGTTAAATCTTCAGGCTTGCTTCCATTTCATGAAGAAGTCCCCCAGTCCCTAAAATGTTTCAGCAACTGCTGTTTCTTAAATACATTTCAACAGCAAGCCCTTGACAAGGGCACAGGAAATTCAGACAGCTGTATAAAGTGTGACTTTTGGTCAGGAAATGAATTTCTGATCAGAGAGAAAAAACAAAGTTTTTTTTTATATCCGTAAGTATTTGAGGTACATCACCTATTCCTTTGACTAAAGTCCTCTCCAACCAAGCTCCTTTCAGGAATGGAGGAAAAGGCTAGGTACTTTAAATATGACATCAACAGAAAAGAATATATATGTTTTAGTTCAGAGTTAGTTAACTTTATCGAATGTTGCCTAAAGCCAAATGCTGAGTACTTAGTCTGGATCTGTTTCTTAAGAACAAATAAAAACAAATAGATTTCTAGGGAAAGATGCTGGCACAGAGGCAGGATCATAAAACTCCATACACTGAAGTCTAATGAGATTAAGAGAAACTGCTTTATGTGCTTTTGGCATGTCTCATGTTTCACAGTTTAACTTTTAAAAATTAATTTTAAACAATAAAATACCAAATATAATAACAACATCACCTGGAGAAAGGGAAGTACCAGTATACATAATTTTATTTAAGATCTAACCACCTCATCTCTCACCCCTCAAAGAATACAAGTTTTGAAATCTCTCCCTGATACCAACCAAGAGACCAAGTGCTGTGGAAGAAATTAAGAAAATTTTCTAAAGTGCTACAAACCAAAAACATACTAGGCTAGTAAGTTACTTAGGTAAAATCCTTTCAGACCCAAGTGACAGATAATTCAGATGATATTTATACTGTGTTATGCTAGAGCACAGAGGAAGGAAATCTTGCAAAACCTTTTTATGAAGCAAGTGTGAAAATACTTTAAGGCTCATGAAAAAAAAGTAAGAACTCATTGCTGAATAATAAACAAATATAAAATTAACAAACATATTCACTGATGAAATGGCATTTTCTACATAAAGAATTATTCCTGATTAAAACAAGAAAAACCATTAGTAAAATAAGCATGCATACTCTATGTGTAAAAAGCACACATGTCTCACAGCAAATGTCAGTATACCTTGTCCAGTGAGTAAACTAGATACATTACTATTAGAGTCAAGAAAGAGGCCAAGGCAGCCGGGTCCAGTGGCTCACACCTGTAATCTCAGCACTTTGGGAGGCCGAGACGGGTGGATCACTTGAGGTCAGGAATTTGAGACCAGCCTGATCAAGATGGTGAAACCCCGTCTCTACTAAAAAATTTAAAAATTAGCTGGGCATGGTGGCGGGCACCTGTAATTCCAGCTACTCAGGAGGCTGAGGCAGGAGAATCACTTGAACCCAGAAGGTGGAGGCTGCAGTGAGCCAAGATAATGCCATTGCACTCCAGCCTGGGTGACAGAGCAAGCCTCCGTCCCCCCGCCAAAAAAAGAGTCAAGGCATTCAGTACCATAACTGTTAGTTTACCTGGTTCTGGAAGTGGTAACAAATTCAACTCCAAAAGAGGACGCACACCAAGAAATAAATAATGAAAAGGATGTAGAATTACTATTTGGATGATTGTATACCTGAAAAACCAAAGAAAATTACCTAAAAAATTACTAGAAACAAGAAAAGTCAAGTTGAAGATGTCCTGTACATAAATTAGATATTAAATATCCTAATTACAACAGCAACCAAAGAAGACAAAATATTTAGATATAAGTTTAACAAGAAATGTGTTGTTCCAATAATTAGTTGTAAAATATTCTGAAGGGCAAACATAACACTTGAATGAATAAAAAGATATACCCCTTTCTTGGATAAGATTCAATATGGTAATAAATTCCCCTGAATTCATATTTAATTGTAATATAAAACATTTTGAGGAATTTGACAAATTACAAAATTAACTGAGAAAAATATGCAAGACTAGCCACACAATTAAAATTAATTATAAGCAATACAATTAAAATCATTCAGTATTTAAAAAGATATTAATAGTATATAGTATAGCATAGAGATCCAAATAAGAATGGAAATTTATGATATAACAATGGTATCTCAAATCAGCAGGGAAAAGATAAACTCTTGAAAAATAAATAAAGCTGGATATCACCTCATGCCTTCCATCAAAATAAACTCAGAAATATCAAAGATACAAATATTTTAAAAGAAACATAAAATTATTAAAAGAAAATATAGTTTAAATGAAATTTCTTAACTTAGAGTGGAAAAAATCTTTCCCAATTATGGTGTAACACAAAAAGCCACAAGGCACAGACCACTGTAATAAACACAGCAGCCAGAAATAAACCCTCGCATATATGGTCAATTGATTTTTGACAAGGGTGTCAAGGCCATTCAATGGGAAAAGGACAGCCTTTTCAACAAGTGGTGCTGCAAGAACTGGATACTCACATCCAAAAGGACAAAGTTGGACTCTTACCTTATACAAAAATGGACTCAAATGGATCAAAGACCTAAACTTAAAGGCTAAAATTCTTAGAAGCAAAGAAGAAGAAAGCTTTCTGACACTGGATTTGGCAATGATTTCTTGAATATGCCAACAAAAGTACAGGCAACAAATGGAAAAATAGATAAACTGGACTTTATCAAAATTTAAAACTAGTACACTATCAAAATAATAAAAAGGAAACTGGCTGGGCGTGGTGGCTCACACCTGTAATCCCAGTACTTTGGGAGGCTGAGGCAGGTGGATCACGAGGTCAGGAGATCAAGACCATCCTGGCTAACACAGTGAAACCCCGTCTCTACTACAAAATACAAAAAATTAGTCAAGCGTGGTGGCAGGTGCCTGTAGTCTCAGCTACTAGGGAGGCTGAGGTAGGAGAATGGCATGAACCTGGGAGGTGGAGCTTGCAGTGAGCCAAGATCGCACCACTGCACTCCAGCCTGGGCAACAGAGCGAGACTCTATCTCCAAAAAAAAAAAAAAAAAAGAGAGAATAAAAAGGCAACCCACAGAATGGGAGAAAATATTTGCAAACTATGTATCTGATAAGAGATTGGTATCTGGTATATATAAAGAACTCCTAAGACTCAACAACAAAAAACCCAATTCAAAAATGGACAAAGGATATGAATAGACATATCTCCAAAAAAGAAATGTAGATGGCCAAAAAGCAGACGAAGTGATGCTCGGCATCATTAATCATTTAGGAAACACAAATCAAAAATCACAGTAAGATACCAGGTGTCAATTATTTTTTAAAAAGGGAAAAAAGAAAATAACTATTGGCAAAGATGCAGAAAAACTAGACCCCTGGTTGGGCGTGGTGACTCACGCCTGTAATCTCAGCACTTTGGGAGGCCGAGGCGGGCAGATCACAAGGTCAGGAGATTGAGACCATCCTGGCTAACACGGTGAAACCCCATCTCTACTAAAAGTACAAAAAATTAGCCAGGCGTGGCAGTGTGCGCCTGTAGTCCCAGCTGCTGGGGAGGCTAAGGCAGGAGAATGGTGTGAACCCAGGAGGCAGAGCTTGCAATGCGCTGAGATCATGCCACTGCACTCCAGCCTGGGCAAAACAGCAAGACTCTGTCTCCAAAAAACAAAAACAAAAACAAAACAAAACAACAAAAAAAAACTGGGACCCCTGTGTGTTGCTGACGGGAGTATAAAATAGTACAGCCATAGTGGAAAACAGTATGTCAGTTCATCAAAAATTTAAACACAGAATTACCCTATGATCTAGTAGTTCTACTTCTGGATATATATATAAAAGAACGGAAAGCAGAGACTCAAAAAGATATCCATACACTAATGTTGCTAGCAGCATTATTTACAACTGTCAAAAAGCAGAAACAACCTAAATGTCCACAGATGAATGGATAAAGAAAATGTGACTTTTTTCTTTTACAAGTTACATATAAAAAGCATTAAATCCATCATTTTATTAAAATATGTATTTCTAAAGGACTATTACTCTGCCTTAAAAAGGAAGGAAATTTTGACACATGGCTACATGAAGTCATTATACTAAGTAAAATAAACCAGACAAAAAAGGAAAATACTGTATGATTTTTCTCATATGAGGTTCCTAGAGTATATTCACAGCGACAGAAAGTAGAATGATGGCTACCAGAGGCTGGAGTGTGGTGGGGAGGATGGAGAGCTAGTATTTAATAAATACAGAGCTTCAGCTGGAAAAAGTGAAAAAGTATTAGACATGCATGGTGGTAATGGTTGTACAATAATGTGAATGCACTTAATGCTATGGAACCGTACATTTTAAAAAATGGTTAACTCATCTTCATTTATGGTAAATTTCTTTTTTCTTTTTTTTTTTTTTTTTTGTGCGGGGAGACAGAGTCTCACTCTGTTGCCCAGGCTGGAGTGTAGTGACGTGATCTTGGCTCACTGCAACCTCTGCCTCCCGGGTTCAAGCGATTCTCTTGCCTCAGCCTCCTGGGTAGCTGGGATTACAGGCACAGGCCACCATGCCTGGCTAGCATGTTATATATATTTTACCATAACTTAAAAAATAGAAAAAAAAAATGAGGTAGGGATTTACATTTTATAAGGAGAGACGCCCATGATCCATCAAATGGAAAAAGCAAGTCAGTAACATGATATAAAGTATGATTTCATCTCTATGTGTATATGTTTAAACAATATATTTCTATAGGTACAGAAAATTTCTCAAAATATGTACACCCCCCAAAAACACCTGTTAATAATACTTAAAGTAGTAGGTCTAGGGAGTTAGTGACTACTATTCAAGTCCTTCTATATTACATGGATTATTTTACCATCAGAAAGCATTATTTTTAAAACAAAATTAGACAAAACCCAAAAATACATAACCTGAAATATTTATTTCTTTTAATTTAGCTGAATTAAAAACATTCTGGGATAATTACAGAATGTCTATAAATGTATCACTAAGCATCCCTGCAAGAACTGAGAAGCACAGAGATTTTATAAGACATTATGATAGGATGTTGACCTTGGCAGGGAGCAGATTCCTAAAGTGGAAATTCTATGTTGAGGCAAGTGACTTTTTTCTTTTACAAGTTACATATAAAAAGCATTAAATCCATCATTTTATTAAAATATAAATCGAATCAGAAGCATTTTAAATCCTCATTTAAAAAGAAGGCGGCGGCAGTGGTGGTTTCTCCTCTTAAGACTGAATACATTCACTTGCAGAAAGCTTGTTAATGAAAATCAGCTCTGTAGATTAACACCATCATGTCTTCTAGTTTAATGGACATTTCAAGAGAGGTGACATTTTGAGGCTGAGGTAGCTTGTTTCCAGGGGCTGTTTTGGATGGACTACTCATACAAAGAAAATCGCATCTAATTGTATCAGAAAAAGTTTTAAGGTCAGAAAACTCCAAGAAAGGTATAACAGGAAAATAAATTATTAAGATACAATTTTTTTAATGTTTAAATAAGATTAAGAAAACAACTTAATTAAGCAAATGGCAAAACTCTAAGAAAAAAAGCACTTCTAGCGCTCACTTTTTTTTCATTCTATTTTGATACTGATTTTATGCCCACAATGAATCTTTTGAAAAGCTTTTAATTAAGAAAAATAACACACTATGCTCTGAAAGGCCTACAAAAATTTCTTTAAAAGGGTTATACATTGCATAGTAGTCAGTAAAGACTAGATTATAGGATAGTAACCACACAATCTCCAAATCCAAATGACTTAAAACAGCAAATGTTAATTTATTGCTCATACTACATGTATGGATCATTAAGAAGGCTATGCTTGTCACTGTCAGTGACCCAGATGGACACAGTAGGAGTGAACAGTTACTTCCCCGTCAGAGAGAATGCACCAGTTCTTTAAAGCTTCTTCCCAAATCAAGTCTCATGGCCACACTTAACTTCAAGTGGGCAGAGAAGCAGAATCCTACCATGTGTCCAGGAGAGAGAATGACAATATCTATGAACAGCTCTAATCACTACTATACCTGGGAAGTTGTAGGAAACACCTCTGATTATTACTGTATATTTTATTTTTATTACTTGGCCACTTTACAAAGAATATATATTACTTTCATGTTTAAAAAAACACTCAAACACAGAATTTAAAATTTGTCCAGAGACTATACCTAAACTATGGGGTGAAGACTGAGGAACAATTACTTTCTTATTACAGTAACCTTAATTGCAAGTTCAATTTTAAGAGTTGGTAATACATTTTTTGTTTTAAAAAGGTTGTATCTGCAAGGCTACAGTAATAAAATATTAAATTTCATAAATGGATTTTAGTTTTTCTTTCTACAAGGCTAAACAGATGACTCTAAATAACTGGCAGTGATCCATTTCTTCAGAGGCCTTAAAAATGTAAAGCTGTATCTTTTAATCCTCAGAATAAATGTGTGAATGTGCACATCGGGTATTAGTAACTTCAATTTACAGGAAAGAAAGTTTAAGACTGGGTCACAAAGCAGTTAAGTCAGTGGGCCATGAATTTTTTTTTAGCATTTTACTAATGAAAATTTCAAACAGAACAGTTAAAAAAAAAAAAAAAAAACTGTTCAGTGAAGGCCCATAAAGCCAATATTCAGCTTCTCTAAATAACATTTTGCTCTATTTGCTCCACTAGGTATCTATCTAGGTATCCACCCATCAACTGATCTTATTTTTTATTCATTTCAAAGTTGCAGACGGCAGTATACTTCATCTCTAAACATCTGAGTTCAGTATTTGTTTTCTGTTCATATTCTGCATTTTTAAAATTAAAGTTATACAGCAAAATGCACAAGTGTACACTTGGGTAAGTTCCGATAAATGAATTCACCAACATAACTCAAACTTCTATTAAGACATATAACACTGGACAGGCATGGTGGTTCCAGCCTGTAATCTCAACACTCTGGGAGGCCAACGCTAGTGGATCACTTGAGGCCAGGAGTTCAAGACCAGCCTCTACTGGCGAAACCCCACCTCTACTAAAAATACGAACATTAGCTGGCCGTGGTAGCGGGGGCATGTAGTCCCAGCTACTTCCCAGCTACTTGGGAGGCTGAGACCTGAGAATTGCTTGAATCTGAGAGGCAGAGGTTGAAGGGAGCCGAGATCATACCACTGCACTCCAACCTGGACAACAGAACAAGACCCTGTCTCAAAAAAAAAAAAAAGAAAAAAAAAGATATACAACATTTAACTTACAGAAATAGAGAGTAGAATAGTGGTTATCAGAGGCTAGGGGTCCTTGGGAGATGCTGGTCAAAGGACACAAAATTTCACTTATGAGAAACAGCTTCAAGCGATCCACTGTATATCTTGACGACTACAGTGAAATATATTGTATATTTGAAAATTGCTGAGAGTAGATTTTAAGTGTTCTCACCACACATAAAAAAATGTATATGTTAAATAGACTGATGTAATCATTTCAAATGTGTGTGTCTATCAAAGCATCGTGTTGTACACCATTAATATATAATTTTTACTTAATTAAAATTAACTAATTTTTAAATTAAATTAACATTTCCATTATCCCAGAAAGTTCCCTCACTGGGCCTTGATTTGAATACATGATCTGCTTCCAAAGTCTACAATCTTTTCACAACACTATGCTACTTCTTTTTAATATATAAACATACTAAACATATTAAATTTTTTATGTCAAGCTCTCAATAATTAAGGGAGCTGAAACATAGAAATATAAAAGGAAGAACACCCTGGAGACACCCTCCACCAAGGCCAAACAACCCAGGTGTTTAATGTCTGTAGCAAGTTGAGTATACCACCTTCCTTCCATCAATGTCCACTACATAATTCCACTACATAAATAAAACTACTTCTTCCCACCCTGAGTTCAACAGTTAATCCAGGAGGAACGGATGACGCCATAAAAAGTCTCATATGTTCATCTCTTGTATCCCCAATTAAACTAACAGATGGTTAGGGCAAGACCATTTCTTATGCTTGTGAGGCAAGAAGTAGGTTAGTGGTTAGTGGTTGCCATAAAAGGCAACAGACAGCTGAAGAAAAAAAGGAAACACTTCAGAATCAGCCAGGTCTGGGTTCACTGTCCTCACACTTAATATGTACTACGTACATATTACGTAACGATGTAATATGTACATCGATGTACATATTACGTAACGATGTAATATATAATATGTATGTTACATCGTTATGTAATATGTACATAGTACATATTAATGTACAGCTATGTAATGATGTATAAATTACTTAACTTCTCTAAGCCTCAGGTTCCTCATCTGTAAAATGAGCCCTATATTTTACCTTCTTTTCAATGTCAAGCTTCTCAAATAAATGACCTACATCCAGATAGATGCAAGCCAGACAAGCCCTTATCCTGGACCTCAAAATTGAGGGGAAATTACTCTGGCCTTCTAGCAGCCATGCCCCTCCCCATGGGATAAGAGACCTTGGGAGCAAAAAGCATGGACATTATGAGCCCATCCTGGCTGTAGACTGTACTCCAGGTAATCTAAAACCAGGAATTTCCTGACCAAACAGCAGTAGGCCTGGCTTCTAAGGTCTGCAGACCCATTCCCTGGTTCTTGCTTCTTGAGGATGGCACTTGAATGTGAGGACTGGTGGGTCCAAGTATATGAGTAAAGCCAGCTTGAAGTATAGAATAGATTGTAGGGTAGGAAGAGAATGGGACTTAGGCTCAGACGAGGTGGGCCCAGTGGGCCTGGTGGGCCTGGCCCATGTGGACATACACCGGCACGTAACTCTGAAGAATCCGAGAATTCTTAGTTTAAACCTCATCTTCCAGGTCCATATGAAGATTATTTGTCATTGGTGGGGGGGAGGACAAAGTATATTTTACTCAATAATTTGTTAATTTAACTTACATACATATAGTATACCGGCCTTTATATTTGCTGCAGACCCTGCAAATGTTACAAGTGGGCATGTCTACACATACTACTTATAACTTAAATGTGTATATAGTGTTTGCCAAATTTGCCTTCAATAGTATCATACTTAATCACATAGTAATATCATAGGTTAGGTTTTATTAACCCCACTGCACAGATAAAAAACCAGACACGTGTAAGAAACATATCCAGTGTTCTTTTCTTCTATCTCCACATCACTCTCTTAACTCCCAAATATCTGGGTCTCCTACTCTACCATTATCTCCAATACTGCACTCTCCAAGATAATGTGCTTCTGATCCCCAAATCTGGTCCTTAATCACCATGACCTCTCTTTAGCATCTGATACTGTCAACAATTTTTCCTTTCTTAGAATAGCTTTCTCTCTGATTTCTAAGCCTTCACTATTCCAGTTTTTCACTTAGCCTTTCGATCTTTCTCTGGCTTCTCTTCTTTTTTCAGAGTTTTTGTGAAGAGCGAATAAGACAGTGTTTCTGGGTCCGGCGCAGTGGCGCATGCCTATAATCTCAGCACTTTAGGAGGCTAAGATGGGTGGGTCACCTGAGGTCAGGAGTTCGAGACCAGCTTGACTAACATGGTGAAACCCTGTCTCTACTAAATACAAAAACTTAGCTGGGCATGGTGGCGGGCACCTGTAATCCCAGCTACTCGGGAAGCTGAGGTAGGAGAATCACTTGAACCTGGGAGGTGGAGGGTGCAGTGAGCCAAGATCATGATGGGCATGATCCAGCCTGGACAACAAGAGTGAAACTCTGTCTCAAAAAAAAAAAAAACCAATATGTTTCCCTCTGGACACCATCAGCACATAGCTACATTTCATATGTTGGTTTTTTTGTGAGTGTTTTTGGCAATCTAAAAAGAATAGCTACCATTTTTTAGTGCAATGTCACAGCACTAGGTACATATAAACATAACATACATATATATGTCTGTATTATCCTATAATCCTATTTTAATAAAAATGGAGCTTATATTGGTTAATAGATTAGCCTGTGTTAGAAATCTGACTCCAACACTTTCTAGCGTTATACTCCCAGATAAAACATTTAAGTTCCCTGAGTGACTGCTTTTCCATCTGTGTAATGTTGCCATGGTCTTGTGAGAATTAAATGAAACAAGTTATAAAACAAATAGTACACCATACATAGTTAATAAATATTAACTACCTCCTCCTCTTGCTGCTTTCAGATGAATACATTAGTTTTTTTGTGTGTGCGTATACCTTTCCAAAAACTAAGTCCTCTATCACTTGACCTTCTTCCTTCATACTCTATAACCACATTTTAAAAATTTTTCTTTTTCTTTTTTTAATTATTATTTTTAAATTTTATTTTCTATACCTACATTTTATCATATTTGTGAATCTAACTCCTCTGGAAGGATGGTTCTGAATTAATTATCTGTGTCCAGATCTCTAATTGTCTAAGCCCACACCTCTAAGTTTTGCTAGTTATTTCTATTTGGAAATTCCACTGCCTGCCATATTAAACTTATCACCTTCCTCACTAAATGAAGAATGGAAAGCAAAAGAGTAGGGCAGCATAAAATATTACAAGGACAGAATGGATGAGATAGATAATAAAGAAGCAGCCAATTTCACAGCTTCAAGCTTGCCTGAGAAAGAAAATGACAAAAACTGAGAAGCAGAGTTTTATAGATCATGTCCAAAACTTTCTTTTTCCTCAGTCTTCAGACATGAAACTCTAATTATTCTATTTCCCTAACCTACAAAGCCCAAAATGTTCTTTCCTTTGAATGCCCTCACATTTACATACTCTATTCATCTAACAACTAATTATATACTGTCTTCTTTTACCAATTTTTATAAACGTTTATCTTATCTACCTAACTGTGCTCCAGGTTTTTTAAAGCCAATGACTAACTCTTATATTTTTAGTATTCTTCTTTATGCCAATAAATGCTGATTGACTACAGTTATGAAGGTATGGTCAAGAACTCAGATAATCATGAATAAAGATGTTTTCAGATTTTTTTCTGACATGGAGGAAAAGCTTTTCAAATCAAAAGCTCGGAGATCCTTCCAAAAATAGGGAAAATGTGAGAGTTAATTTATATTTCCCTCTGAAGGCTTTTAGTCTTGGTTTTAAACAGAAAAAAATAAATTCTCCAACAAGATTTCATTAGGCATGTGTTACTACTTTATAAATTATTTTCAAGAACTGTGCAAACTCTTTTTAAAAAAATTATATTTTTCTAAAATGATTACTAGTCATTTTAATTGCTATTGCAAAGCAATTCTTAAAATTAATGTCTATTAATTTTAGACATTAATAAATGTAAATGTCTAAAACCATGTAATATAGACTGATGTGCTATTTAAGTATTAAAGAATTTCAAAACTTCTAAAACTCAGATAACAAAAAACAATTCTTGCAAAGTTTATTTAAAACAATGGATTTTTCCTTTCTTCCTTGGTTGGATTTATTTCAAATTTGGGAAAATTTGATTATATTACATTTTCTTTACTGTGATCAAAACAGGAGAAGTGCAGGGTAATAAACTGATTTTGATTTGTTTTTTTTTTTACCTGAGTAGCTTTGTCTTTCATGCATGAAGGGTAGTGAACATGAGGATCCCGTGGCCACTGTCCTGTGAGGTAAGGTCCTGTTATTGTATCCAAAGAGGAGGTTCGCCTTATTGTACTAGAGGTTCGAACTTGCTGAGATTTTGCCCTGTCCGCTACAAAAAGTGAAGAAAAAAAAAAAAGAGTAGTCATTAGTGAAGAAAATAAAATTTAAAGTTCTTTAACTTCATAGTTTGTAGAATGTCATCCTGTCAATTTTCCCCATTATATGTATATTTACACTAATAGCCCTGTTGTATGATCAGATGAAATGTATGAACCATGTCCCAAGGAAAATACATTCATGTTAAATCTTACATACATTTCCAGGGCTTCCACAGACCCTATGAAGCCTATCCATTTTATATAAATCTGCATATCATCTCATTGCCATTATTTTAATTAAGACTCTCATTCATGTCTCACCTGAACTGCCAGTTTTCTAACTGCTATCCCTGTATCCATTTCAACTAAATTTTACAGTGTCATGCCCAAATAGAAAACATTTCCATGGTTAGTCATTGTCTTTAATTTAAAACCCGTATTATTTAGTATGACATAATAAGCTTTCACAATTTGGGTGCCATATGCCTCAATGTTTAATATCTTGCTATTCCATAATCCCATGCTAAGCATCACATGAATGGCCTGTGTTTTTCCAAAGGTAAAATACACTCTTTCTGCCTCTGTATACTCTACTTCCTAAGCCTAGAACTCTCTTTCTTGTTTACTTGACAAATCCATTTATCTTCAAGACCAGCTCAGATGTCACACTGACTCTGTGAAAATTTCCCCAATGCCCTTTCCTCTCCCCTTCCAAGATATACTTGCCTATCTCTGCTTTCAGGGCACCCTAAACCTGTTTCTCTCCCCCATCAGAGCATAAGTTTAAACCCTACAGACTAAATAGGAGTCAACATTCAGTACTCACTTAATAAATATATTCACAGCTATACAAAAATAACATGCATAAATAACTTTATATTTTAATCCAACTTCCTCATTCACAGACGAAGAATTTGAGGCCTAGAGGGACACTGAACAAGAGACGCAAACAAGGGACAGAGGTAAAAAGAACCCAAAATCTCTAGACATTATACACAGTTCAATCAATCTGCCATAACTTCTCCTTTCCATAGGGGTATCACAAGTATCTCTGTTAAAAATTAATCACACTGAATACCGAATCTATAAGGAAACTATAGAGGACTTTCCATATATCCATCCTAAATAATGTACTACTAATGTGCATTCTATGATAGATCCAGCAGATTTACAGGTTCCCAAGGCTAAGAGTCTTTTCAGAGTCATATCTCACATCAAAAATGCCTTCCTCTTTACAGAGGGTGAAGAAACATTTATTATTGAATGCTGTCCTTTACCTTCCTGAAATCAGAATAATTAGTTTACCAGAAAAACAGAACAAAATGCATGTTATCATATTATGCAGATAATAGCTTAGAACTACAGTTTTTATTTTTTCCTTTGACCCAAGAATTGTAAGAAAAGATCTGAAAATTACCAGAGTTCCTCTTTATCTGTATTACTTTAGCTCCAATTGTATTGTACTGAAGGCAGAGAATCCAGTGGAACCCATTTCTACTCTTTGGAATTACCTGAAATTTTCCCTGTGACCAAAAACATGGTAATTTCTTATAAACATTTCATAAATCAAAGAGAAGGTATTTCATTTTCAGAATATATAGGTCCTTGTCTTATATATCAATTGAATTAAATTATAGAATATAGGAATAATTATCAGTTTTATCTGTTACAGACTTAGAAGACTACTCTAAAATCTTTAAACTACTATTGAGTTCTAAAAATTCTCTTTATTCTTTGCACGTTTTTGACCTTTATATTTTAGTTCTATATTATTTATCACATATAGATTCTTTTTTTTTCTTCTTTTATTATACTTTAAGTTTTAGGGTACATATGCACAATGTGCAGGTTTGTTACATAGGTATACATGTGCCATGTTGGTTTACTGCACCCATTAACTCGTCATTTACATTAAGTATTTCTCCTAATGCTATCTCTCCCCCAGTTCCCCCAACCCTACGACAGGCCCCGGTGTGTGATGTTCCCTGCTCTGTGTCCAAGTGTTCTCATTGTTCAATTCCCACCTAGGAGTGAGAACACGCAGTGTTTTCTGTCCTTGTGATAGTTTGCTGAGAATGATGGATTCCAGCTGCATCCATGTCCCTGCAAAGGACATGGACTCATCCTTTTTTATGACTGCATAGTCTCTCATGGTATTTATGTGCCACATTTTCTTAATCCAGTCTATCATTGATGGACATTTGGGTTGGTTCCAAGTCTTTGCTATTGTGAATAGTGCCGCAATAAACATACGTGTGCATGTGTCTTTACAGTAGCATGATTTATAATCCTTTGGGTATACACCCAGTAATGGGATCGCTGGGTCAAATGATATTTCTAGCTGTAGATACTTGAGGAATTGCCACACTGTCTTCCACAATAGTTTAACTAGTTTACACTCCCACCAACAGTGTAAAAGCGTTCCCATTTCTCCACATCCTCTCCAGCATCTGTTGTTTCCTGACTTTTTAATGATCGCCATTCTAACTGGTGTGAGATGGTATCTCGTTGTGGTTTTGATTTGCAGCCAGAAGAGAGTGGGGGCCAATATTCAACATTCTTAAAGAACTTTCAACCCAGAATTTCATATTCAGCCAAACTAAGCTTCATAAGTGAAGAAGAAATAAAATTCTTTACAGACAAGCAAATGCTGAGAGATGCTGTCACTACCAGGCCTGTCTTACAAGAGCTCCTGAAGGAAGCACTAAACATGGAAAGGAACAACCAGTACCAGCCACTGCAAAAACATGCCAAATTGTAAAGATCATCGATGCTAGGAAGAAACTGCATCAAATAACGGGCAAAATAACCAGCTAACATCATGTCAGGATCAAATTCACACATAACAATATTAACCTTAAATGTAAATGGGCTAAATACTCCAATTAGAAGACACAGCCTGGCAAACTGAATTAAGATTCAAGATCCATCAGTGTGCTGTATTCAGGAGACCCATCTCATGTGCAGAGACACACATAGGCTCAAAATAAAGGGATGGAGGAAGATCTACCAAGCAAATGGAAAGCGAAAAAAAAGCAGGGGTTGCAATCCTAGTCTCTGATAAAACAGACTTTAAACCAACAAAGATCAAAAGAGACAAAGAAGGCCATTATGTAATGGCAAAGGGCACATATAGATTATTGACATCAACATTACAGCTTATATGTATCACTATTATAATTTGTCCCATTAATTATTTTTTAAATTTTATCATACTATTATGACCGCTTTCTGCTTTCTTTCTGTTAATTTGCATGGTATGCCCACCCTTTCATTTACAAGCTCTTAAAAGATTTTTTATGTGTATCATAAAACAAAGTATGTTTTTATACCTTTTGAAAAAAACATTGCAGCAAGCCTTCTGATTGTACAAGGTGAGCTTATCCCACTTATATTTATTGCTATAACAAATCTGGTTTAACTTGTCATGTAATTTTTTCCTATTTTGGAATGTTTCCTTGCTACTTGCTTTCTGTTTTATTGTTTGTTTCTTCTCCTTTTATCTTTACCTCCTCCCCACATCATAGGTAACTTGGAAGACACATAAACTGTTTCTAGTTCTATTAACACGACTAGAAGTTATTTATATTAATTTTTAAAATATTTTTCCTGGTGATAAATACCTACTAATTTTAGCAACACTGGGAAACAGAAAAGTAACATCTCCCATTATCCAATTTATAATAATTTGTTTAAAATTTTAAAGTTTACTTTAAATTCCTTCCACCATGAAGAAACAAAAGACAACAAACTGTTGGGAGGCAAAGCCAACATTTATCAGTTGACCTCTAAATTTAAAAGGCCTATATAAAGGTCAGCTATAACCAGATAAGGAAACACCATTCTAACTGAATAACTTGCGCCTCTACTTAAATTGCTCCAAACAATTTGAAAAGTTGTATGTAGTCCATTTAATTATTAAAACTCCTTTTAGTTTAGTAAATAAACAATAGGAACCATTTTTAATGGTTTTTTTGAGGGGGTGGTGTTAAATTTATTTTATTTGTGTTTTCTACAGATGGTCTCGTTCTGTCACCCAAGGCTAGAGGACAGTGGCATGATCGCAGTTCACTGCAGCCTCAAACTCCCAGACTTAAGTGATCCTCCTGCCTCAGTCTCTTGAGTAGCTGGGACCACAGGTGCGCATCACTACACTCAGCTAATTTTTTAAACTTATAGAGATGAGGTCTCACTATATTAACGAGGCTGGTCTCAAACTCCTGGGCTCAAGCGATCCTCCCACCTTGGCCTCCCAAAATGCTAGGAATACAGGTATAAGTCACCACTCCCAGCCTTGTTCTTTTTAGACACAGGGTATTGCTCTGTCGCCTGCCCAGGCTGGAGTGTACCAGTGTGATCATAGCTCACTGCAGCCTGGAACTCCTGGGTCTACAGTAGTTAGGACTACAAGTGTGTACCACCACATCAGGCTAATTTTTAAATTTTTTGTGGGGATGGGGGTCTCGTTGTGTTGCTCAAGATGATTTCAAACTCCTGGCCTCAAGCAATCCTTTCCCCTTAGGCTCCCAAAGCACTGCGATTACAGGTATGAGTCACAATACTCAGCCCATTTTAATGTTTTATAATGAATTAAATACATAAATAATCTATAAATGAGTCCCTTGGTCTGTATAATAATACTCTAATCTATATTTACTTTCACTTATTTACTCTATATTTACTTAATTTTTCTTTTATTTTACATATATATATATATATATATATATTTTTTTTTTTTTTTTTAGACGGACTGTTGCCCAGGCTGGAGCGCAGTGGCACGATCTCGACTCACTGCGAGCTCTGCCTCCCGGGTTCACGCCATTCTCCTCCCTCAGCCTCCCGTGTAGCTGGGACTACAGGCGCCCACCACCGCGTCTAGCTAATTTTTTATATTTTTAGTAGAGATGGGGTTTCACCGTGTTAGCCAGAATGGTCTCGATCTCCTCATCTCGTGATCTGCCTGTCTCGGCCTCCCAAAGTGCTGGGATTACAGGCATGAGCCACCGCGCCC